TTGGGGAGTGAATCATTGGACGGAAGATCTTCCTCTCTGTCTCTCCTCTTCTCTGTATATCTGACTTCACAATAAATAAATAAAAATGTTTAATAATAAAAAAAACAAGTCCATATGGCAATCCAGAAACAGAAGGTCATTACCCTCAAGTCCATCCATTAAGCTGAAGACCGATGTCCCAGCTTCCCCAGCAATATAAGTCCCTTATCCTAAGGGACACGCAATGAATAACCTGGACACACAAAGCTGCAGACATTCACCTTCCCCTGGCTTCTCTGCCCATCACTGCTAGGCCTCACCTCTCCTGGAGCTCCTGACAGCACACACAATATGTATCAGTTTGCTCACCTGAAGAATGGGACCATGCCTCGAGTCCTTCTGAGAATTTAGCAGAGACACCTGCCAGCCTCTGTCCATGAACTCAGACTGATGGACTTGGATTTGACCTTTCCTGCAGGGCCAGCTCTCACGTCGCTGACTGCTGCTGTGCTGAACATCCTGCTCTGGGGTGCCATCTCTGGGGTCCCTGCATCGGCCGGACACAGGACAGAGTGGTCATGGCTGAACCCAGCTGAGGGGGAGGACCCTGCTCTGAATGAAAGGGGGTGAGGGAAGAGACAGAAACCTGGAGAAGCAGATGGGTCCCTTTATTTAGTTATTTATTTATTTTTCCAGCCGCTTCCCATGTAAGGGCGGGACAGGAAGACAGAACAATAGAAAATAACGCAGAGGGTAAACATCAGGGTACTTCTGGTTACCTTTTTTGTGTGTAAGAGTTAAGGCCAGAGGGACTCATTATTATGCTGATAAGCAGCAGCTGGGAGGGGGGATTTGCCTGTTATCTCCCTCACCTTGAGTCCCTGGATGGTGAGCTTCCTCTCAGCCTGGTGACCTGGAGCTTCATCCAGAATAACGCCTTTCTGCTATTAAAGAAAAAAAAAAAAGATTGGCTTATTTGAAAAGCTGATTGTCAGGGAGAGAGTGGGGTGGGGGATCTTCTGGTTCACTCCCCAAATGCCTGCCACCCTGGGCTGGGGCAGGATGGAGTCACGGGGAGTTAGGGACTGCGTCTGTGTCTCCCATCTGGGCAGTGGCGCAGCAAGAGCCCAGGGCAGCGAGAGCTGGATCAGAGTAGGAGGGAACAGGCATGCTGACTCAGCATGCAGGTGCCCCCCCCCCCCAGGATGCCTTCACATGCCGCCCCCAGTGCTGGCTTGTGGGGCCAGTGTTTCTCTGAGCCTGGCAGGAAGGAGCACAGGGCAGGTCCCTCTGGGTGCCACCACCTCCCACAGGACCAAAGCCCGGCTTCTCTCTCCTCCTTCCACCCAGTTCATCCCCAGACCCAACTTGCATTCTCCGTTTCTCCCCAGGGTCTCTGCAGGTGGCTCAGGCCCTGGTCCTTCTACCCTCAAATGTCCAGCAACTCATTTCTGCTCAGAGGATGCCATTGCCATTGCCCAGCACACAGAGGCGCTGTCTGTGCTCCCCGAAGGTCCTCCTTCTGGCCTTTCACACCTGGGCTTCCCTTGTCCTGCCCCCACACGCTCAACAATGCCACCTCTTCTGGAGGAATCACCAGCCATGAGGTCACACTGTCCCCACCTATAGCTCCTCTGGCTTCAGATGCAACTCCAGACCCAGCTCTGAGCCACAGCAGTCTCCCACCCTCTCCCTGCCTGGAGCACAGCAGGTGCAAAGTAAATTCAGACTGAAAGTTGAATAAAGACCGGGCCTTGGCCTTATCTCCATCCAGGCAGGTGCCAGCTGCAGACTCTAACAATGAGCATCTGATAGCTCTCCGGTGTGAGGGCCAGAGGCTTTCCAAGAGCCACCGGAGAGACAAGGACAACTCCTTAGAAGCACAGGCTTCTATCCATCTACCCAGAGCGGGCCAAGCTTGGCTCTTCGAGGTACGCACAGCAGACATCACAAGGCAGCCAAAATGATGCCGCACCCACAGATGGACGTGACACCTGCCAGCAGCTTGCCCAAGCATCCGGAGTGATTCAGGAGGGTCATAATTAGGAAAAAAAAAAAAAAAACTATCGAAAACTACCTAAATGAAACAGCACGACGAGGGACAATCATACAGAACTCAGTGATCACGTCGTCTGTCATTTTTATTCCGTTCTAAGTCTTTCGGTTTTGTCCAACTTTTCTGCACCAAGCAGCTGTACTTTTGTCGCCAGAAATAAAGCAAAAAATATTTTTGGAGTTAGGAATTTTGGCTGTGAGGGCTATATAGTAACATCTTTTGTTCTATTTATGCAGTAGCATTCTTCCTTCCCCGGAGCTGGCTTCCATTGGTTGGGGGGAGGTGACACCCTGAAGTCCCAGCTCCCTGGTGCTGGCCGTGTGACTCAGGTCTGCCCCATCACTGTGTTCAGTGCGGGGCACGGGATCAGGAGGATTCAATTTGAACACTTTCTACAAGGTCTGTGGGAGCTGGAAGCTTAGAGTTGGCTGTCTGCACACTAGCACACACTCATGGGTGTGCACACACATACACCCTTGAGCCATGGTCACTTTGGGTCCTTGGATCCAGCAGTCTGAACCACTTACCATCCCCAGATTTTCCCATGATACGAGCCAAAGTCCTGTGGTTTGCTTACGCCAGCTGGACCACGGTTTCTACAAGTTACAACCAAGAGTCTACAATGAGGGGGAAGCATTGTGGCACAGTGCTTAAGCCATGGCTTGCAATGCCAGCATCTCTTATGCAAGCGCTGGCTCCCTGCAAAGACACCTGGGGAATCAGCAGAGGACAGCCCAAGGGACTGGGTCCATGCCACCTGTCTGGGAGACCCAGACAGGATTCTGGGCTCCTGGCTTCCACCACATCCAGCCCTCAGCATCGGGGCCATTGTGGGACTGAGTCAGAGGATGAAGATGGCGTCCTCTTTTTGTCATTCTGTCATTCTGCCTTCCAACTAATAATAATAATAATAATAATAATAATAATAATAATAATGTGTTGTGGTACAGTGGATAAAGCTACTGTTTGGGATGCTGGCATCCTACATGGCACAGGTTTGTGTCCCCTTTGCTTCTCTTGATTCGGCTCCCTGCCAACGGCATCTGACAGGCAGCAGAAGGTGGCCCAAGTGACTGGGGCCATGCTACCCACGTGGAAGACCGGCATGAAGCTCCTGCTTCAGCCTGGCTGGCCCACGGGGGCCACGGTGGCCACCTGGGAATGAACCAGCAGGTGGCAAATCTGTCTCTCCCTCTCTCCCTGTAGTTCTGTAAAAGAGGCCCAAAGCAATTATAAAAACAATAACATCCATAAACTCGATTCACGAGAGGCCTAGCACTCTCAGGAGATGCAGCCTAGCACGGACTGGGGCCCAGGGACATCTCCCAGGGGCCACCACTGCTCCGTCCCGTGGATTGCTCCCTGGCAGGCAGTCCGCAGGCGCTTAGAACCTGCAGGCACAGGCCCAGCAGCAGCCGCTCTGCAGGAGCTGGAGGCCCCGGGGTGCACTGGGAAGGGGCTGCTTCTCTCATCAGTACAGAAAGCAGTGCTGCAATGACCAATAGGACCAAACCCGTGAGGGCTCCCTGGAAGCATTATTGGGTCTGATTTGGGGGTGTGTGCGTGTGCCCCCTGCTGAACTGGGAACCCCCAAAAGCAGGAGGGGATTTGGTCAGAGGTGGTGTGTTGTGTGCTGACTTGGTGCCCTGAAAGAACAGTCCCACGCCGCTCCCTGGGGTGGGGTGTTTTTTCTTTCCTTCTGTTAGTGGCACTGTCTGGCCTAAGGATTAAATTGCAATATGGTCTCTTTTCACCCAGTCTGCCCGAGCCCTTATCCTCCCAGGATCAGTTGATTGAAGAAGAAAATTGTAAATTTTCTCTCCCAGGCATAATGTGATTTTAACTTAGGGATTTTTCTTTCTTCCCCTGCCACCTCTCACTTCAAAATGGATTTGGGAAATCAACCAAGATCTGGGTACCTCAGGCTCACCCTGCCTGGTCCGAGGGCGCGTGCTGGGCGGCAGGGAGGGCGGCAGGGAGGGCGGCTCCCATCCTTGACTGTGGGGGTGGGCCTGTAACCCCCCCCCCCCACCGCCAGGCCTGCCCCGTGCCACGCAGCAGGAGCTCCAACAAGGCTTGATGAACGAATACATAAATAAATCCAAAGAGGCAATTATGCACATTGATCATCTCTGATAATTCTGAAGTGATTAGCTTTAAAAACCACTTCCCTTAGCCCACCCCACTCCCACGGAAGAGCTTTCGATGCCGTAAGAGGTGAGGGAAGGCAGGTCAGGGGTGAGTTTGCAGTCCAGGTGTGTTGTGTCTCGTGATTCTGCAACCTTCCCCCCGCCCCCTAATGGATTCCACTCCTAAGCTCTCCGGGGGGAGGGGTGCGCGTGAGGAAGTGGGGGGATGCTTTATCTCTCAGAAGACCCAGCTCGGCGGGGCTCAGAATGGGAGCTCCAGTCCCGGCTCATCCCCTCTCAGAGCCACGCAATCCTGGGCCGCTTTCATGTCTGCCAGAATAAACACATCTGCGCTCTCCACCTGACAAAGCTGAGTGCGAGCGCGCAGGAGGCCCGGGCCGCGCAGGGACAACCCGCACAGGTGCGGCGGCCGCGGCTTTCCAACGGCGCTTCCTTCGTGGGAGCGCAGCAGCGGGAGCCTGGGCAGAAAATCGGCTTCCCCTGGGCTAGAGACAGGAACAAGGGCGGGCAGCCGGGACTCGACACTCATTTGCAACCCAGGAGGAGAAACCGCACTCCCCGGGGCGCACCCCTGCTTCCCGCCAGCCCAGCCCTCACGACACCCGGGGGGCCAACGGGTTTACAACTCGGAGGGGAGGGGGCGGCTGCGGCGCCCTGGGCGGGGCATCTCCCGGGTCTCGCCGAAGTCCGGGGGCTCAGGGCGCGCGTGGCCACGCCCACCCGAGGCACCCAGGGCGTCCCCACGAGCTCCCGGGCAGGTGAAGACACTGACCATCAAGGAGGACCCGCGAAGCCCGGCTCGGCTTCCCGCCGCGATGCCACGCGCCATCCCTTCCACCCCGGAACGTGGGGACCCCAATTCCTGGCCACTGCCCCTGCACCATCACCGCGAGCCCTTGGCGGCGTCCAGCCTGGAGCGTGTGCTCCCGGGGCCCGCGCTGGACCTTACTGTCTGGGGAGCACCTAGCAGGTGCCGGCCGCGGCCCGCGGGCAGCAGCCCCCCTCGCTCCGGGGTGGTGACCAAGGCTCCGGGGAGGCGGGGTCCAGAGCGGGCGGCGCCGGCGACCGCGGGGCTCCCCGCCTTCTCACCCCTGCCCCCGAGGGCACAGCCCCCGGCCCAGCCTCCACCCCCGGGACTGCGCGTCCGGGCGGCGGGGGTGGATGGGGCGCGGGCGAGGGAGGGCGGCGCGGAGGGGGCGCCGCGGGGCGTGGCCGCGCGCAGGGGGAGGGCGCGGGGAGGAGCGGCCGCGGCTCGGCGCCCGCGGCTCGGGGCGCCCGGCTTGGCGACGCGCGGTGCACTCGGGCGGGAGCTGGAGCGCGGCACGGAGCTCGGCTCCCGGCGCAGCCGCCGCGATGAGAGGCGCTCGCAGCGCCCGGGAGCTTCTCGGCGTCCTGCTCGTCCTGCTCCGCGTCCAGACAGGTGGGACTGCGCCCGGGGCGTCCGCGGAGAGGTGGCTCGCCGGGCTCCCGGTGCCCGTGCGTGGCGGCCCCTGGACCCCTCGAGCCCGCTCCGCCTCGCTCACCTGCGCCTGTAGCCCTCCGCCTCCGAGCCCGAAGTGCGGCGGGGATGGTGGCGGGTCTTCCGAGAGCCTGGGCAGCCGCGGCGCTCAGGCTCGCGGGAGGCTGCGGGCGAGTTTGCGGTGGCTTTTGTGCCGGCGCTCGGCTCCCGGCTCGCCCCGGGGAGCGCGCTGTGTCTCCCGGCCAGGCGCGGCGACCGTGGCTGCTTCCTTTTGTTAAAAGTTGCGTGTGAGCGGGCGAGCGCGGGGAAGCGGCACTCCGTCCCTGGCCGCGCCGTGGGCAGACTTGGAGCGCCACTTCCCCGCGCTCGCCTTCCAGTCGCCGGCGCTCTTTGTGCCCGGGACCGGGCGCACAGGAGACCCGCTGCCGCCTTTGCTGCCTCGCGCGCGGCGCCGCCCGTGGAGGCGAGCGGGGAGGGACGCGGCGGCGCTTCTCGCCTCCGGCCCGCGGGCTCGCGGCTCTCGGGGCGGGGACCCCGGGAGCTTTGGAGGTGGCAGCGGCGGTGGCAGCAGCCACCGGAGCAACTTGGGCAAGGGCGTGTGGAGAGCCGCCGCTAGGTTGCACACTTTTGGCTTTTGTGATTCAGGAGGCTCGCCCGTTTCTTGGCTGCCACGCGCCCCGGAGCGGCCGGAGGGTGCACGGACTCCCGCCAAGCCCGGCCGACCCCGGCCGCCTCGAGGCGCCCCGAAACCCCCCTGGGCGGCGGGTGTGACCCGTAACCGCAGGCCCCAGCTTCCTGGCGGGGGGTGGGGGTGGGGAGCGGGAGGTGACTCGGAAGCTTCTTCGCAACGCCTTCTCCCTCGCGGCGTTCACCCTCGTGGGGTGCCTGGAGATGGGGTGGGAGGTGGCATGGAACTTTGTGCAGGTGCACCCCGGGTTCTCAGCGCTTTGGGGGAGCGCCCGCACGGGGTGGGGGGCGGGGAGGAGCCCTCAGGTGCAGGAGGTTTGGTCAGACCGCTGCCTCACCCCTCACCCCTGCTCCTGACCGGGGGTCGCCCTGCCGGCGGGCCGCCCCCCTCAGCCGCGCTCTTGCCCAGGCGGTTGGAAACAAACGTGCAGACTATTTTGGGTTGCCTTGGTGAGGTCAGGAGAGCAAAGGAGTCAGAACTGGAACCGGGCGCCCCAAGGAGGGTCACAAATAAGCTATTGTGAGACTGTCGGCCCCTGAAGACCCCACACACAGTGTCCGGGACGCGGGAGGGGTCGCCAGGGCTCACCCGCTGGTGTCCTTGGTGGAAGCGATGTGTTGACCTAACGGGAGCGCGCGCTTGCTCGCTCTTGGTCGTTTTGTGCGTTGGTCCTTGTGGCGTGCGTGGGCGCGCAGGTGTGTGGACTGGCTCCGAGCTAGCAGGAACGCCAGAGAGGGCGCCCGGACTCTCAGGCTTTCCAAAACTAAACGATTCAATGGTTTCCCTTTTCTTTGCGAGTCGCCCCGTTTGGGCGTAAGGAGTATTCGGGTCTGGCTCCTAGCTAGCACCCTGTCTTGGTCTGTAGGCACCCAGCCCCGTTTGTTTCTCAGGCGGCCTTGGGTGGGGCGCATCCTGGGGTGCGGGATTCCCTGCACGTTCCCTGCAGTGTCCCCACTCGACCTTTCCTGACCCCTGGCCTGCCTTCCCGCCGCCCCTCCCTCAGCTCTCCCAGGCTGCGTTCAGGCGGCCAGTTTGCCGCCAACAGGATGAACCTGCGAGGATAGTGAATCATGCCTTCTGCCTTGTTGGTTCCTGCACGTGCGGTCCTGGGCAGCAGCTGGCCTTGGTGCTCTCATCCTGCTTGGAATAACAGGGCGGCGAGCGTCGTGGCTGTGCTTGCTGTCACTGCAGTTTGTGGAGTGCCTTGTGCTCTTGGGGGCTGTAGGTGCTGTTGGTGCTGTAATCCCGAACTCTGGGCAGGGCAGCCCAGGAGGAGCTGGTGGGTGCCTAGCCCACGGCCCAGCGTTGTGCTCCATTGTAAGCAGTGGCAAGAGCCCTGAGACCAGCTTGGGACGGCCGTTTGGGTGTGCGCTGGCTCTGCTCTCACCTGATGCCTCCAGCTGAGTGGACATGGTTTAATGAGCACAGACTCGGGGCCAAGTGTTGTCAAAGGTGCTGGGAGTACAGGCTGGCCAGCTGGGCTGCCCTGGTGGTGCTCCCGAGGGAAGGGAGGTAGTGGCCGAGGCAGGACTCCTTACTGTAGGGTGGGCATTTGGTCCCAGGGTTGTAGTCAGGTGGTCTCCACTGTCCACCCCCCCCCCCGACTCCAAAACATGGGCTTGCTAAGTGTGCAGGAGAAGGTGCCCGTGGCGCTGACGCCGTGGGCCATGTGCTTTCTCAGCCCCCGCTGACCGCTCCCAGCCCTTGTCCCCATGAAGCACTGGACAGAAATGAGCCAAGTGCTTGTGAGCCTGCCCTGACGCCAGTTTAGGTACAGATGTGGCCCCGTGATGGATTTGCTGCTGTTGACAGCCGTTAGAAGTTACCCCAAGGATTCTGACTCATTTCCTCACTTCCCCGCCAGCCTGCTCCAGTGTGCATGGGGGAGGGGGCACGGGCAAGTGAGTGGAATTGTGAGAGCTGGGCTGCGGGGGCTTGGGGACCCCATGACGCACAAGGCCAAGGCTACTGCGAGCTTTGGGTTACCAGGTGGCAGGCGAGGCCGCGCGGTGCTTTGTTGTGCTGCGTTTCAGGGTTGCATGCTGTTTGCTTGCGGGAATCCAGGACACGGGATTTCTCGTGCAAGGAGAGGTGTTTTCACAGCTGTGAGTCCAGAGTGAGGCAAGGGGAGTCCGATGCTGGGCTCTGTGGGGAGTCGAGGAGAGTTAGGGGTTAAGCCTGGTGGGGGGGGTCTGACTTCTGACCTCCTGGGATATGACATTGGGACCCTGGCTCATTTTGCAAGGTGAGACTTGGGCGCACAAGCTGTGCCTGCAGGAAGCTTTGTAAGGAAACAGAGGAAATGTTCGCAAACCTCTGGAAGAGCCTGGTCCCTTCCGTGCCCCCGGCTCCTCTGGTTCTTTATGCTGTATGTTGGTCTGCTGCCAGCCCTTTGGCGATGGGCAGAGGTCCCAGGGGAAGGCAGGTGGGGCTGGAAGGTGTCCATGGAAGGGGCCAGTGGTCAGCAGGCAGCCTGGCCTGATAACTCCACCGCCTTGGAGTGAGCCACTTTCTGATCACTCCCTTTTGCTTCCTGGTTTGGCTATGGACTTGCTGTGTGACTTTGGACAAATTACTTAACCTCTCTGTGCTGGTCAGCGTGTTGAGATACATACACACACACCAAAAGGTTGTGTGTGTGTGTTTCTGAATTTGGGTATGAAAACAGAAAATATGATTGTTTTTTTATTCGGGGGAGCTCTCCCCGTCTCTAGTTCCCTCCCCGTGGCCCGCAGTGGCCCAGGTGTGAGCCTGGAGCTCCCATCTGGGGCTAAGGGAGCCGTTCTCTGCAGCCTCCCAGGACACATTTGCAGGAAGCTGGGACCCAGGGACCCCAAAACGGGATGCAGGCTTCCCAGGGAACATCCTAACCTCTGCACCACACACCCCAACTTGTCCAAGGATGCCCCACGGTCGTACTATGTGGTGATTGGCAATTAGGAATTGCTGTTACCCTCTAGTGGGGATGGTGCTTGCCCTTGACACAGGCTCAAGAAGAGATTCTTATGTCCAAGGGGCCCCCAGTACTGGAGTGGCTTCTCTGTATAAGTCGCCCTCCTGCTGCCGATTCGCATTTGCCAAATGCCCTTGGCCGGGCCGCACACTCTGACCTTGGTCTTGGGTTTGCTGTGGCCTCTGATGCGATTGTTGGATCACCTGTGTCAGAGCTGGGGCAAATGCTGACCCTTCTGTCTCCCCAGAAGACCCCCACGGGGTCGTCGTCTGAGAATTCTGTACTCAAGGGCTGGCATGGTGTGCCCGAGCCACTCTTCTGAGGGGTCTCCGTTGCGTGCTTGCCTTCCCGACAGCTCCGTAGGTTGTGGCTGCTGCTCTGTTAGTACTAGGGTTGGCAGCGTCAGCATGGAGGGTGCGCTTTCTGCCTCTTCACCCTGGGCTTCAGGCCGTCCCGGTCCTAGCCGTGCTGGCTGGGTGATCTAGAGCTGGACAGGAATGGGGCTGACCCTGAGGACAGAGCGCTCCTCGTGGGGCACTGTGCCTCTGCCTGCGGCAAGCCCAGTGCCCCTCCCGGAGGCAGCGTGCGCCTCACACTACCGCGTGTGTTCCATGTCAGCCTGGTCTTGTGGGGGAAAAAAAAAACATTGTAAAATCAGATTATGTAGGATGTTGTAGTTTTTGGTTTGTTTTGGTGTTGAGATTTATACCTTGGCTGTGCAGATTTTTGAAGAGTCCACGGTCAGTGTACTGGTTTCTCTCCCGAGTTCTCTTTCGAGTTCTCTTTCGTTTCGTTCTTGGCTTCCTTTCCACCGCGGGAGGTCGGTTCTGGATGGACGCGCGGGGGACGGGGGAGTGTGTACGTGGTCACTTCCTGCAGGTGCAAACACAGTGGGTCCTGGAATCCCCGCTGCTGGCCAGAGTAGGCACCGGGAGGCCAAGGGGCTTTTCCTGGACCACTCTTCCTGAGGGGCCACTGCCCTGGCCGGACACAGGAAGTGTTGGTTTAACGCTGCTACTCCTGGACTTGGCGGCTGAAGACGCCGGGCCAGCGTCATTCTGGTTCCAGTCCCAGCTTTCCGCCTCCTGAGAAGGCAACGGAAGATGCCCGGAAAATGCCCGAGGGCTTGGCTTCTGCCACCCGTGGGGAGACCCGGAAGAAGCTCCTGACTCCTGGCGGGGGCCTGGCCCAGACTAGGCAGCTGTGGCCAATTGGGGAGTGAGGACGGAAAGATATTGTCTGTTTCCCCTTTACCTTTCGAATAATAAACTCCTGGACCACAAGTTGGATGTTTTAAATGCTTGGTAAACACATTGGGTACCTTGAAGATCTCTGCATCACAAGGCTTTGTGCCCACAGGGGCGATCGGGGAGTGAGGGGTGAGCTACCGACCTGGGCGAGAATTTAAACTCAGTGTTTGTTCCTCTGGGTTAGGCAGGTAGCATGAGGGACCAGGGCACTTCGAAAGTTCACGGGCATTAGAATTGAGGAGAGCCTGATTTGGTACAGAAAGTTCTAGAATCTGCATGGCTAAGTTAGTACTATGCATGCATAGACTTCTTGAAGTCCCTTTGTAACAGAGTATCCTTCTAGGAAACAGCAGTTTAGATTACTTTTTGCCTCTCTTTTATTCAAGATCTTCTTTCTTTATTTGAAAGGCAAGAGTGGGAGAGACAGAGCGCTCTCTGTTCACTCCCCAAATGGCCACGTTGACCAGGGCTGGGCCAGGCTGAAGTCTGGAGCCAGGAGCTCCTGACTGGGTATCTGAAGTGAAGGCCAAGCACTTGCCATCTTCTGCCTCTGTCCCAGGCATATTGGCATGGAGCTGCATCAGAAGTGGAACAGCTGGGACTCGAACTGGCCCTCATAGACTGCTGGCCTCCAGGCAGTGGAACCGAGCGCTGTATCTGCACCGCCAAGGAGGCACCTGTCGGTTTGTAGCTGGGGCTGCTTCGAAGGCAGCTGTGCAAACATGGACTGACACATTCAGGAATCCTTAGAGGATTCCAAGGTCTTCTGTTTGGGGTGCTGAGGCCTTCAGAGGAGGCCTTGGCCCCATCCCTGAGGAGGGCTCCGGTGTGCAGACTGCCTACCACCCTGTCCTGTCCTGCTTTGCTGTGAGCCGTGCCACCA